TTAAGGAGATATATACACCCTTAATTTTAGTTGTGATATGAGCATTCAAGATTTATGGAATGATTGGACTTTGAAAGTGATGTCGAGACTTGGAACAATTTTCCTTAAAAGCACTACAAAGGGCTAATTTGTACTTTATTATATTACTTTAGAAAAAGAGTATTCAAATTATAATTTTTTTGAAAAAAAAATTTAGACTTCTAACACATTTTGAATATAGCTTAGAGCCATCTTTTAAAAAAAAATTATAGGAATGGAAAGCCCTATTACATTGAAATCCTATTCTAATTTTAGCCACAACCTCAAGTCTTCATAAAAAATCATGTCATTTATGAGCTTTCTGAGTCTCTCATAAAAGAGTTAAAACATGCAATTTGAGCCTTGATATTGATCAAATAAGCTATGATATTGATAAAATAAGCTATGTCGTCGTAGATCTTTTGGAGGTCAAATTTTTCGTTAGGAGCGAGCATTTTCCAACAATTGAGGAGTAGACCCATGTTGACTATCTTATCATCCAAGCTTTAGGATTTTCATGTAGTCTTGACATAAAATTTAGAAGCAAACAATCTCCTTCATCATTTTGAGCTTACTTAGATCTAATTCTTCCGTCATGATTCAATGTAAAGGACAACTCGTAAAAACCAAAGGTTAGTACCGACATCATTTGAACATGATTCGTGTCTTAACTAGATCAAACCTAGTGGACATGATCTAGCTTCTTTATGGTTAGGCGAAACCTGTCTAGTCCTAAACCTTTTTCAAGTTTTTGAATTGCTTAAATTATCACTCGGGTAATTTAGCCTCTCACCTTATGCACAAGGAGATAAAAGAAGGTTATTCTATCATTTCCTATCCATAGGGCGAGTTACAGTTCAAACGAGAGTCCAAAAGAGCATCATTAGACTTGCATCATACTTATCTCTAGATCTCTTTATCTAAATTGTATCAAGGTTTTAGCTCGAGTCTAGAACTTTTATGAGTTTCCTTCGTATTGTGTGCAATAGTTCAAAGAAAAGCATTCAACTTGGTTCCAAAGTAAATGTGTAGCAAGAAAATAAAGTACGAGATTTAAATTGCGTAAATTAAAAGATATACGATAAATAAATAACTCAAAATTAAAGAATAAAAATAAATGGCTCAAAAAATAATTAACAAAAAGTAAATACGGAAGATAAACTAAACATATGACCTAACTCTAATCCCTAGTGGAGTCGTCATTCGATCTCTACCCGATATTGGATAGGACTTTTAAATTTTTTTTAAAGATTTATAGATTTATATATTTGCATCGTATTTTTGAGGATTTTTTGGGATACGAGTAACTATTGAGTTTAGAATCACCACCTAATATTAAAAGAACTAGGAACTTAAACATAACTTTAGTGCGAGAGATTCTAAGGTAAGAAATTGGTTACGCTTTTGAAAAGATATCGATTATCCAAAATATCTTTTTCTAATAAATGTACCATGTCTAGTTTAGGCTTAAATTCATCTCCTTATTTATGCCAAATTATTTTTCAATTTAAAACTCAAAAATGTCCTTGCCAAACTAAGTTTTTTATTTTTTAGTGTAGCATTATATTGAAACAATCGTCGGACCGTTCGTCGGGAGATTCGTAAGTTCAAATATCGATTCCACTTTAAGTCTCAAAACAACTAGTGTGTCGAAGAATGACCTAATTACTAAAAATGATTTCTTTTGGCTAACAACAATCCCTATCCAATTGAAAACTTTGTTCAACGTTTTATATTTTTATTTTTTATTTCCTTTTTTTTTTTTTTGTAGAAGATCGTTGTCGGTCTCGAAGAATTAGAAGACTTTACAATCCTCCACCTATTAATTCTAATTACTAAATAAATTAATTAAAATTGCATTAATCAAATAAATTAAAGAAAATTCAAATACCGAGTATAAATTAATAAACATGCATAGAATAAATTCAAGATAAAAAAACATATTAATTAAAATAGTTACAAAAAATTTAAAGATAAATTCTTACTAAATTATAAACTAAAAAACATGCATAAAACAAACTAGATTAAAATTGCATTGAAATTAAGTATCTAAATTAACTACGAAATGATAAACATGCATAAAAATAAATTTAAAATTTAAATTCTAGTCAAACATTTTTTTTTTCTGTCCAAATTTTCCTTTTCCCTTTTTTTTATTATCCTTTTTTATTCTTCCTCCCTATTTCTGTTTCTTCACTTTATTTATTTATTTTTTTCGAGTTAGACTGGAATTAGTCTAACCCATTTTGAAGGAAAAGGGAGAAGCTGGACTGAAACCAGTCCAGCCTCTTTTCATTTTATTTTTAGAACAGGCTGGACTATAACCAGTCCAGCCTCTATTCAACATGGGTTGGGCTTAGCCCAACTCATGTCCCTCTAGGCTAGGATAAGGTCCATAAACAAGCCCAGAGGAAGTTTTCCTCTCATTTTCGATCAAACGCACGGCTTAACCCTTTCTCTCTCCTGTTCTTCACTTTCTCTCTATTCATCATGTTTTCAAGGAATTAAAATTCCTTTCCGGGCAAATGAATTAGTTAATTATACCATGTTCATACTCTTTCCTGAATCAAAACCACAACCTAAAGCTTGAACAAGTAACAAATAGAAATTTAAAACGACATAAGTAATGGAATCAAAACTGGAAAACTTGAAGAACACTGACCAAATTGCTTAAGTTGATTGTTGTTGTTCTGAGATGGATGAAAACTGAAGCTCGAAATGATTTCGTGAGGATTAAGGGACTGTCGATTGGTCTGGAAATGCCTAGATAAGATTCAAAGCCAATGATCGAATCCTATAGTTGAAAACGCATGAACTCGAGCCCAGAAATTTTGAAGCACACAAGAAGCTGCCAAGAATTTCCAAAGAGAAATCCCAGCAAATCCAAAATCAAGCCTCAAAACCCCGAAAATGAGGTTAAGAAACTTGTTATTATTGAAAATAAACCCAGAAAAAACCAAAAACAATAAATTAAAGAAACCAAAAGTTGCTGAACTAAAACCCAGAAAATATGAACATAAAGAAAGCTACCCAGAAATTGCAGCAACTGACCCCAAAGTCTTTCGATTTTTTGACCCTTTTTATTGATTTTTACTCCCTCTCTCTCTCTCTCGGCCTGGAATTTTTTCCAACCCTCGAAATCATTTTTCCTTCTCTATTTATAAGCTAAATTGGAGCATTGGTCGGTAAGGGGTTGCTGCAAAAATGGCAACATAGGTTGCTATAAATTGGGGAATGGTTGTGCAAATTAGGCATGGGTTGCTGCAAATTGGCAACAGGAAAGTGGGGATTTGATGGTGGAGTGTGCAGCGAAAATGGCTGCAACTTGCAGCATGGGGCATGATTCATGGCTGGTACAACTACCAGCCATGAATCCAAGAAGTCTGTAGAACAATCCCAGAGCGAACGACACTTTCGTCCTACGTTTGCTCTTAAATTTCAATGTGGTCCCTGTAAATTTAATTATGTACAATCATGCCCTTTTATTAGACAACTTCAGTCTTTGTAAGTTACAATTTTATCAATCGAATCTATATAGAGTGCAATTCAGGTTTCGAATTTCTGCATTGACTCAATTGTATCCTTTTTTATGTAATTTCAGTCCTTATAAATCATAATTTTATCAATTGGGTCTTTAATTACCTCAATTAAACTTTCGTTTAATTTGATTGCATCCTTGAATGTAAAATTCCCACCCCTTTTTTTGTTTTTTTACTATATGTATATAATTTAAAAAAAAAATCCCAAAAATAAACAACATGATTACAAATTAAATTAAAAAGGGATGACTTTTTTTTTTAGTTATGACATGTAGCATTTGCTTCAGCTAACTGATCTAAATAATCTTTTATGCTCTCTTACAAATTCTTATTTACAACATTTGAATTTCTTATTGGGAATGCAAAATTTTGGCAACAATTAGGATTTTAATCTTAGTGGGTTCCAACATATTCTGCCCCAAAACTCTTTATTTTATATTAGTTAATTGCATAAGACGTCTCTTTATTATCGAAATTTTCTTAATATAGTTCCTCTATTGTTTTTAATTAATTACCTCCCTCTATTCTTCAGTTTTTCTTAATTTGGCCTTTTTTATTGTTTTCTGATCAATTTTTTGATCAAAATTGAAAGATCAAAAAAATAATTGACATGACACATCATACTTTTTTGTCACGTGAAAAAATAAAAAAATAATCTTTTTTTTCTCTCTCTCTTTTTATTATTGATATTTTCTTAATATGGTTCCTCTATTTATTTATTTTTATTAATTACCTCCCTCTATTCTTTGGTTTTTCTTAATGAGGTCTCTTCTATTGTTTTCTGATCAATTTTTTGATCAAAATTGAAAGCTGAAAAAAAAATTCATATGACATGACACATCATACTTTTTTACCATGTGAAAAAAATAAAAAATGATCTTTTTTTCTCCTCCCCCTCCCCCTCTCTCTCTCTCTCTCTCTCTCTCTATTAACCCAGAACGATTATGCCTAACTTCTTTGTAACCGTACAAGCGACGGAAGGAAATTTTAGACTCTGCTTTGTAACCATTGAGGACCAAAGCTTGGAGCAAGCTTTTATAGTCAAACTTTTGCATGGACATTGTTAGCCAATAGGCTTTTTGGGCTTCGGTATGTTCTCTTTCGTTGGGCTAAAGCTAATTGGACATGAGTTCTCTTGCAAAAATCCCAAAATCATCATTGCCTTTCTTAGCTTATTTAAACGAGTTTCCAATTTATTATTTTAGTTAATTTTTTCAATCAAAACAACTGAAAATGTCAAATAAATTGCACATAATTTTTTTTCCCTATGAAAATGCTTCTCTCTACTTAATAAGTATAAGTCACTTTTTTTTTCAAGGAAAAAAAAATCAATACCTTAAGATAATATTTTCTTAAGATTAACAACTCGACCAGGCTTCAAGGATCAAAGAGCATTAAGATAATTGGACATGAGTTCTTTTGCAGAAGTCCCAAAATCAATACCTTTCTTAGCCCATCCACCAACACCATTAGCCACTCCGAAGGCAAACCTTTCTTAGCCCATCCACCAACATCATTAGCCACTCCAAAGGTTTGCGTTTCTTGAAAAACAAAATGTGCCTCTTCTCCTAGACTTTCTGGGTTCAACTCCGTATCCTTTGGGAAATGCATCTTCAACTTCTGTCTACTTTCATCATTCAAAACCCAAACCGGGCTTGAAAATTTGACTGATTTCGCTAAGATATTCTTCTCTTTTTGATAATAATCTAGTTTCTTGCTTCCTACTCCAACTGATAAATGATTTTGATGGAGTTCGACCTCTAAAAAAAGGGAAATAGTTTATCCAGTTGTAATTTAATCCACCCACGCATGTGAATGATTGATTTCACAGGCATGGGTGATTGATGATCAAAATAATATATTGAAAACTAGGTTAAATAATAAATATATAATTAATTCATTTTAATATATAAAGATGAATTGGATATTCAATCCATTATATAAGAATAGACCAGACTATTTCTCATAAATAAAATTTATAAAGATTAATAAAGCAAAAAATAGATAGAAAGACCTGATATTAAGAAAACAAGAGTTCTAGGTTTTTATTAAGTAGATTTTAAACAGGTGAATAATTAGTAGAATTTTTTTTATTATAAGAGTTTGTGTTTGATAATAATATTTTTGTATAATTAATTTGATTTTTAATGATCAAATTCATAATCTTGATACTATCAATTAAAAAAACACTTACTTATCATGGGGCACCACCAAAATTAAGATAAAATCGTACACTCATATATATTCTATGTGGCAACACCAGAATTGAGATAAATTTTTAAAAAACACTAGAAAAAAAGAAGATAAATCCTTAAAATTTATTAAAAAAAAAACTTGAGATTTAATATATATAGATAAGATGCTAAAACTTCGAACGAATTTGTAGTTCTAAAAGAAATTTGTACGAAAAGGATAATTGTTGTTAGTTTTATTAATATTGATATTTTTAAAATATTATTTAATAGAACAAATATGAGATTAGGGGTTTTCCAAACACTTTGTTATTTAGACAGATTTATAGTTATTAAGATCATGATCATGGTAGCAGCAGTACATGTTTCTTTTGATCTGTTACTGGTCTTTTAAGGAAATATTTAAGAAGAAATGAATATAATTTTAGTAGTATTGAAATTAAAAATGAGTGGTAAGCTAGCTGATCTCCAGATGAATTTTTGAATCATATTTATTGAAAGAGTTTAAATTTTATTATTTTTGTTTTGAAAAAAATTAATCATATATCTAATGTGGAATAGAAATATATTAGTAGAAAAAAAAAAGGTTGGAAATGGGAGATTGAATTCAATGTAGATCACATAGAGTTTAAAGCATGAAATTAACAAAGGTGTACTCTTTGTGTCACATCCCAAGCCTAAGAGAGGGGTCTGAGTTGTAATTGAACAGTTTTTGGATCTACAAGTGCAATATTAAGTTGTATCTATTTGCCCTTACAGTTTAAATGAAATTTTAAGTTTCATTTAGATTCACTAGCCATTATCTTTATCTAATTCAATCTAATTTAAATTTCTTGTAACCCCCCCATGTGGAATATAGGGGCATCACAGTTTGGACCTAGTAAGTAAGCTGTAAGCATGGAAAAGGTCAAGAAGGAGAAGTTCCCAAATAACAAAAACCGGGCTGCTTTACCTTTTCAGTCTAAAGTTGACCTGGAAAGATTTCATGTACCGTTTGATCCTGCTTTTACATTTACTTTCTGCATTAATGTTACAGTTTCTGTGAGACGATGCAAAATCTTGTGACATCCAAAGGCTAACGTTTTCCTTAATTACTGCTCTAAATTTAGTCCCACAACTTTCTGTTCTAAAACCTAACAACAGCCCCATTTAGATACGGGAGCAGTTTCTGGCAAGGATAGGTTCTGTTAATCATCCCGGAAAGGCAAAAATGAGCTGTTCATGGCTCCGGTTTCACTGGCTAAAAGCTTGGCATAAAGTTGTTTGGACTCGTCCAGTTGCATGAACATCCAAAGAAGCATCCTGTGGTGCTTTTCATGCACTCAGGCTGCAAATTTATGAAAGAAATGGTTTTGCTATAGAAGATTGCCTTATTCTGCTCTGTAGAATCTTATGTGTTTCTATTATTAGCTCACGTAGCAGGCTACAGAAATATTGGTTAAACTGACCAAATTGTCCTTATAAAGTGGAGTTGTCGACAGAATGCTCTTCTTAGATCCAACGAAATGGCATCTCACCTGTAACAATGTTTCTTTCATTAGCTATAGGCCAATAGCCACCATTGTGTAATCCCATTAAGTACAATGATTGTGCTGATTTTAAGTTTCATGTGTTTTGGACGAGACCACTCAGATACCTTTAAATCTTTATTCTTAAAATAACTCACTTTTAATTTTATTTATCAAATCAAGGGATTTTTTCCACATCGTTCTCCACTTATTCATTTCATATTTTTCTAAATTAATTTAACAGATAAAAAAAATCTTAATGAAACATTTGATGGTTAAGAATGTTCATTTTCTTCTTTTATTTTTTAGGTTCAAATCTAGGGACTAGTACAGAGGAGAATTTTATTCAAAGAAAATTAATGTATCATATCGATTGAAAAAATATGCTTTTAAAATTATCTAATAAGAAATTTAATTTCAACTGATATATAAACTAATTAAAAATTATCTCAGTGTTGAGGAAAATAACAGATAAAAAAAAATCTAGATGGGCTAACTTTTGTAGAACAATGCATTGTTAGAACTTGTAAAGATCAAAGGAGAATTGGGAGTGGTGGTCTTAGAAATGATTCGCAAGAGGCAGTTAGATTAATTCAGTAAAAATATGGCTATACTCATCCTTGCTTTGCTTTGATTTCCGACATTCAACCTCTTTTGAGCAAAGATTGACACTGCTTAGTCCGGCATATTTTTTGAGAAGGAAATTATGATGCAGATCATGCTGCAAAATTAGAAGTATCTAATGCTATTCCTGTGCAGATTTGAAGTGATCCTCCTCCTAATAGTTCTTCGGTTCTAATAAAGACTTCATGGGAATTGCTCTTCTTAGATTGTAGTTTTCGCTTTCTCCTTTTCCTATGTACCAAAAAAAAAAAAGAAAAAGGAATATATAGTCCAATCATTTATAAAGAATTAATATGTTTTCATGAAGAGCGCTTCGGATCAATTTAATTCCAAACTTGAGATGTGTCATCACTTGTTTTTTACCTCCAAATTTTATTAAAAAGATTATCCAAATATTGAAACAAAAACAAAAAAAAAAAAAAAGCATTTTGCGTCTTTATATGTTTTCTTGTAATTTTTAGCTATTATATAGGTTCTCATAATTTCAAGAATTTTTACATATTTCCTTTAATTAAGCAATGTGAAAAAAAGAAAAATAAAAAAAGAACTAGGGGCAAAATTGAGAAAAAAAGAAAAATAGGTGAAACGGCAAAGAAAAACAAGGAAAGGACTAAAGAAGAAAATAGTAGAAACGGAGGACCAACATAAAACTTGTCATTCGTCAAACGAAATGATGTCGTTTCGTGTGTATTGGGAACAAATAATATCTGAGGCGAGGTTGAAACGCCTGGCATCTTACTATTTTCCCTTCTTCGTACTTCCCCGTTTTATTTCTCACTTCCTGCTTCTTCTTTTCGTCTATAGAAAAACAAAAGGGAGAATGCAATTGGCAGCTTCTATTCGGTTAAATCCATTCGGTTTGAAGCGTCACTAGGTGTATTTTCATGACCTTGTCTATTGATTACCCAAACCTTATTCCTGTACGATGAGTTTTTCAGTGCGTACTATGGCTCGAGTCCAAAAATGTTCTTAGCATAGTTCGTAAAGAAATTAAAAAGGAAAATAAATTTAAGAGGACAAACACTAGAATTAATTAAAAAAAATTGAATAACTACATAAAAAAACAATTAGAGAGAAAAGAAAAGAAAACAATGATTTTTTTATTATTATTCTTTTAATGAATTTGCCAACTCTTCAAGGTTGCGACATTTGGAATTATTTAGAAGATGGGAAGGTTTGTGGAAATCCCCATCGGGCTAGGTCATGCTGAAATTCCAAAAGGTCCAATTTTTAAAATTAACCCAAAAATAAACGAAAGCAAGCCTTGAGCCTAATTTTTCCAACCTTACTGATTTTAGATTCCAAATGCCCAAAACATAATATGATGAATTAAATCTTTAATTCCAATTTCAAATTCACTTAACTTGAGATAACTTCACAAGATAGACTTAGAAAATAATTGAATAAATAATTTACAATAAATGAACTTAGGAATATAAACATAGTATGATAACCTTGTTTTCGGGAAAAAAAATATTTTTGAATGATTTTTATTTATTTTTAAAGATAACCTATTCTTTATTCGTTTTTATAGAACTAGAGCATTTTTAAAATTTTTAATCTCTTTCTCATAAGACAGTGAAGACTTCCTTTTCAACTCTTTTTAATCTGGAAGGACAACATGACAGATAACGACAAGATAAATGAAACGAAATTTTTGATTTCAAAAGAAAAAAATCAAATAATTCTAGCTATTGATGATATCTATCTAAAAAATAGTAATTTCAACTTGGATAGAAACATATTGTGCTTTATAATTTTTGGGGACGTGATTTCCTTGCTTGCAATATTTATGGGAAGATTTTTTTTCTAAAAGCATCTCTGTTTCACGAAAATCGCTTGCATAGATATAATTTTTGGACTACTAGGAATTAGCGTTCTAAAGAAATATTTAAAAACAGAAAACCTAAAAGCCATTTCTGCTGTGAGCATTTGTTGATTACAGAGTGCCACATCTACATATAGATAACCTGAAACAATTTAGACTGACATTGGATGGTAGTGTTTGTTGCAAAATGGGTTACAACTTCATTTTCACTCGTTGCGTTTTACTTGCAGAAACCAAATTCTCTATATTTTTCTCACTCTCCTTTTTTTCCAACTGTCTATTACAAAATCCTGTGCGTCGATATTTCAAGACAGCGTTTCCGATCTAATTCTAGCCATGAAAACATTTAGGCCGGAAAGGAGTAGGTGATGGTAAACAATTTTATGTAAATTTAACTTTATATTTAAAAAAAAAATTATAGATTAAAAAGATTATTAATTATTATGACATATCTATATATTTTATTCAATTTTTTTTTAAAAAAATACCATTTTCTAAAAATTATATTTAGAAAATAATTTACAAAATAAATTTTAATTATTTAAAGGTTTGATTGGATAAATATTTTAGAACAAATATAAATACGAATATGAAACATTTTTTAAAAACTGAGAAAGTATTATATACATTGATGCTTGCTTTTACTTAGAGAATAGAATCATGATAACCTTGAACACATGAAGTATTGGGTTTGAAATTTAACTGCTCTTTTTTCAAATGCTTGAATGGCTGCTAGCCTAATGCCTCGGAGAGGATGTCATAGGGGGACCAATTGGTTTCAAGTCACTTTCTATTTTTGGCTTTTGTCCCACAAATCTTGGTCATTGTCCATTTCATTCTCCGACAGGCAAAGGGCACCCCTGTCTGTTATTCTTGTTTTTATAACGTTGTTTATAAATAATAATTAGTTATGTTTTTGAATGAAGATGACACTACCTTCTTAAGCATTCAAGTTTTTTTTGAGAAAGATTCGAAGTCACCACCACTCGGACTGTTAGTGGACGAAAAACCCTGAAATTTCTACACCAATAAAAACATAGTGATAATTTTTTCCTTCTTCAACCAATTCTCTCTTCTGTTAGAGATCTCAAATGCATCTTGTTTAACTGATTCAAGGACAAAAATATTGCTACGTATAAAGTATGGATATCATTTAATGTTATATATTTTCTGTACTGAGCATTGAATTAATGTCTATTGTCTCATAATTACATTTTTGTTCTCATATTATTGTCAATGAGTGAAGACTGTGAGTAATTGTTGTCAGTAGTGTATTTGGTAAATAAATAAATAAAATAAAATAAAAAATCAAACTTATGTTTCTATTTTCCTCGTATAGAAGCATGATTTCTTGGGAAATATCACAACCTTTTTTTTATGTGCATATATTGTCAACATAGGTTATGGAACTGTTGCAGACATGCCTCTACAACTACCGACATGGAATGCTAACAAGGTTACTCGCACTACCGGATAAATGGGATTTAACGACGAGCAAAACCGTCGCTAAATAAAAAAACCGTTGCTAAAACGTTTTAGCAACGGTTTTGCGACGGTCAAGTAACCGTCGTTAAAAACCTCATCGGTGTTTTTTAGCGACGGTCCAAAACGTTGCTATTCCGTCGCTAAATGTCGATGTAAACGAGTTAGGACATTAGCGACGGTTCCGTAAACCCTTGGTATGACCGTTGCTAAATAACGACGGATTAGCAACGATCCGGACCGTTGCTAAATAGCGATGGATTAGCAACGATTTGGACCGTTTCTAAGACCATTGCTAATTGAAAAATAAATTTATTTAAAACAATAATAAAATGAGGTCAAAGTAACAATTTTAAGGTAGCAAAAATCTCGTAAAATATCGTAAACGTAAATTTTTATTATTCAAAATGTATTAAAACGTCGCTAAACAATTACATTATTGTTAAATAAAAAAAAATAGTACATCGAGTTGCGGTTAATACAAGAAAACATAAAATCTAAAATAAGTTAATGTTTAGGATCGATCGGAGGTCGGGTGGAGTTGTCCGGAGGCCGGGTCGAGTCGTTGTCGGCCTCGGGAACGACGGATGAACTACCCCCACGCTCAAAATGCCGCATGAACATCTGTCGCATCCGTGACATCATTATAAACCGCTCTCGACTATTGTTTCTCAACTCAATTGTGGTATCCAACAACGATGCCACTTGGCCTCGTAGGCTACTCACGTACCCTCTAAGTTGTGGAGGTGTATCGTGTTTGCGGATGTTTGCTCTTGAATTTCCTTCAATCGTGCCTCGTCAACTGCGTTGAATCCGGAAGTAGCGGAAGATGAGCCCGCATTGACATTTGAATAATAGTGAGATGCATGTCGACCAAGTCCGTACATCCTCTTCCTCCTACTATCTCCTCCACCAACGGCCCTTTGAAAGATGTCATTAATGTCGGGTGCGGTCGCTTCGGTCCCTCCCGACCGTCGGCTAACAACCTCTTCCTCATTAATTAATCTTTGTACGATCTCCTATATAATTATGAAACACGTCACATCAAATACGAGTTGTCAAATAACGTTATTAACTAACAAATATTAAATAATGTTTCAAATTTATCACTTACTCCGATAACCCTCGACCGTTGATCGACGAAGACCGACCGATCATTAACCTTTCTCCGATGAGTCCTCAAGAAAACCTCGTGAGGATCGGGTTCACGACCCAACACATTACGCCGAAAACATATATAAATAAACGTAAATGTATTAAATATAGTTAGATGTTTAATTAATTATTTTGGGTATTATTTAAAAAAAATTATAAATAAATTAAATAATATTTTTTTTTACCATGCGTATGGCGTGCTCTCTATGGCCGATTGATCCCCCGTATGTCTAGAAGGACCGGTTCCGACTCCACCGAGTCTCACTCCTACCGGTTCAGTCGTCGCCATCTCGGATCGAGCAACGGCCTTGGGTTTCGTCCATTCCGTAGTCCATGCATCCCATATTTCCTGTGAGATATATGTCGGCTTCGGTTTTTCCTTAGACGACAAAGGAAGTCGAATATCGCTTCCGTGCGAGACTTTCCCATGCTTTTTTAACTATGCTCTCGTTCAAATCATCATCCCACTTAAATGATTTTTGGCAAAAAAAAAAAAAATAGACTACTAACTTTACTTTCATATTATTTTATACAATTTAAATAAATATTAAATAATATAATTAATCAAATAAAATTTAGAAATTAGAACCTTAAATTCTTCCCGAGTAAAAATCTTTTATCTCTCGGACTCATTTTTTTCCACATCCATCCCGAAGAATGAACGTACTCTTGGAATGTCTTAACGATCGAGCGAGAGCAAACATCGAAGGATACAACCTACAAAAAAATAAACATTAATTAAATTCATAAATAACATAGTAGATAATAACGGTAACCATAAAAGTTTTTAATTAAATGAAGCATAAATCGTACTCATTGTGCCCAACAACAATGACCCGTACTCGATGGTCAACCGCAGATGTTATTGGCTCTAAAGCCGATTGACACGGGACATTATGGGGTGGAACGTGTTGAGGAATGGAACGGTCGTCCCGATGTGATGACGAAGGCACCGACGATGATGACGGAAAATATGAGGGAGGTTGACGCGGAGGTTCAAAAGGTCGCGGCCGAGACCCGACGGGCATGGAACGAGATGTGGAGGGGCCACCGGAAGAGTGGTACGGAGGCATGTCCGGTGGGGGATCCATCCGATCGTGAGCGAAATAAGAAGGGTGTCTACGACGTCCACGATCACCGTCGGACCGATCGCATCCGAACCACGACCCCTACCTCGAGTCATTATGACCTACGTACATATTAATTATTAAAGTCAATAATTGTTAAATAACATATGAATTATATAATGCATATGTACTTACATATAACATTCAAATTAATATGAACTAATTGATTTATACTAAACAACAATAAATCATAAACATTTATTTAATTAAATCTTACCTTTAAAAATTATATGTTAACTATGTAAGTAAACATACGAATAAACCTAATTTTTTCCTAAAATTGTGACAGAACGTGGACGGTACCCTAGAGATTTATTAAAATAGTTTGAAAAATTACACTTGGGGGACAAAACTAGCCTATCTCAACATTCCGGGAGGACAAGGTTGCCTAAACCCTTAAATTCGAATAACAATTACATAAAATCCAAGTGCATAATTTATGAATTGAATAAAAAATACAATATAACATAATCCAATGGTATATATCATATTATCTCTAATCACTATCATTATAATCATTGTCATATTCTTCATCTAAATCTTCTTAAAGATCGAGTTTCTAACTCCGATTCATTCCGAATATCTATTTCATCACCGTCCAATTCTAATAATGCTCCGGTAGGATCAATCAATGATCGACCTTCATCATCATCAATGTGCGGGACATTGTGTTGACCTTCTATTTCATTTTCTTAAAAAGGTTCGATATTAGTTTGATCGACGGTAACGTACATTTCGGCACATCAACCATAGGCCGTGGCTTAACCTTACATACCGTTAACCGAGCCTCGTCGTACGCTTCTACATGTAGGATATGTTACATAATACACCCGATGCGCTTGTGATCCTAGTATGAATGGATCGGATCTATTTGAATACTTACGACCGTGAACCTTAACTAGTCAATAATGATCATGAACTCGTGTACTCGGTACCGTGTGTTGTATCATACCAATCACATTTGAACAAAACTATTTTCTTTATTGGTAAGGCTGGATACTCAAGTTCGAGTATGTCAATCAACCTACCGTAGTAGTCATTTTCCACCTCACCGTAGTTAACTCCTTTAACACACACTCCACTACACATTGATGCTCTCTCCGAACCACCAACATCGGTATGAAACTTATATCCATTTATAATGTACCCCGCATACGACTTCGCAGTTCGTAATGGTCCTTTGGCCAAATCTTTAATATAATGATCCGTTATAGTTTTGGGTTGTGCTCGGCTTGCTCGTATGTAAGGACCGAGTTACTTATAAGGTAATGTAATAATAAAATTTGATAAAATAAATTTATGAATATTTAATAACAATCTTGACG